AATCCGATCATCACGAACTCGCCCGATCGGAAGCGCAGCGATTGCGGCCGCGTGAGCCGGAAGGCGAACAGCCGGTCGGTGTAATGGCGCACCCACGTCACGGTCTGCCCGTCCTTGAGGGCGACCGGCTGCGCACCGCCGGCGATGGGCGTCATCTCGTTCATTGTCATGGGCTCCAGTTAGGCGACCTGGGCCGCTTGATGCAACCGTCGTTGATAGGTCGCATTGATCCGCGTCAACCGGGCGAGCCACTGCGCTTCGGGCTGCCGCTGGGCCAGAGCCTCGTCGATTGCCACCGCATCGAAGCCGCAGCGCCGGGCATGGACATACTGGTCGGCGATGACATGACCCTGCGCGACCAGCCGTCCGGTAAAGCCCAGCCGGCGCAATTGCATGGCCAGCGAAAATCCGCGCCCGTCGGCGAACGACGGAAAGCCGATGACGATCGCATCGAGCACCTTGAAGTGCGGCGCGACCGCATGCGCATCGATGTCATTGTCGGCGACAAGACCGATCGATGCCGGGCGGTTGGCGGGAAGGCCCGCTTGAAGGTCAGCCAGCGAAACCTCGCCATAGGTGCCGGCCATCAGCCGTTCGGCGCGGTCGTCGGGCGCAAACCCGGCGTCGGTGACGATGATCATCGCATTTGTCTCCTCAAGCATGGCTTGGCGCTAAGCGCACGATCGCGCCGTCGACGATGTGAATGCCGCATTCGGTCTTGTCGCGGCCGCGCCAGCGGCCGGCACGCGCATCCTCGCCCGGCCTGACGGGCGAGGTGCACACCGCGCAGCCGATCGACGGATACCCTTGACCGACAAGCGGATGCGGCGGCAGGTCGAGGGCTTCAGCATAGGCGGCCAGATCGTCCGGCGACCACAGGGCCAGCGGGTTGAGCTTGGTCTTGCCGTTGGCCGCCGTCTCGACGGGCTCGATGTCCGAGCGTGTCAGCGCCTGATGCCGCTTTCGGCCGGTGATCCAGCCATCGAACCCTTCGAGCGCCGCATCGAGCACCTGCGTCTTGCGCAGATCGCAGCAGGCGTCCGGATCGGTCAGGTGAAGTCGGCCCCAAATGTCGGTACCGCGCACAGCCTCCCGCGCCGGGCGGATCGTCCGCACATCGGTCAGGCCGAGCCGAGACGCCAGCTCGTCGCGGTAGGCCAGCGTTTCGGCGAACAGCATGCCCGTTTCGATGAACAGCACCGGCGCCGTCCGGTCGACGCTCGCGATCAGGTGCAAGAGCACGGCCGACTCGGCGCCGAACGAGGAAACGGCGGCAACGTCGCCGAACCTTCGGTCGATGAGCGCTTCGCGCAACAGGTCGAGCGTTGCGCCCTGCGTGTCAGGCGGCGCGGGCGCTGTCGCGTCGGTTGTCATAGATGGCGTCCTTGAAGGGTTGTGCGCCAAGGCGCCGATAGGCGTCGAGGAACGTTTCTTCACCGGTGTGGCGCAGGTCCAGATAGGTGTCGATGATCGCTTCGATCGCAGGGATCAGATCTTCCGCCGCAAAGCCGGGGCCGGTCCGCTCGCCGATCGTCGCCGTCTCGGTGCCGTCGCCGCCAAACGTGATCTGGTAGTTTTCGACACCGGCCTTGTCGAGGCCGAGAATGCCGATATGGCCGACATGGTGATGGCCACAGGCATTGATGCAGCCGGAGATCTTGATCTTCAGCGGGCCGATGTCGCGTTCGAGCTTGAGCGCGTCGAAATGGGTCGCGATCTCCTGGGCGACCGGGATCGACCGGGCCGTCGCCAGCGCGCAATAGTCCATGCCGGGGCAGGCGATGATGTCCGACAGAAGGCCGATGTTGGCGGTCGCCAGCCCGGCCTTGTTCAGTTCGGCGTGGACGGCCGGAATGTCGGCCTTTCGCACGTGCGGCAGGATGATGTTCTGCTCGTGGCTGACGCGCAGTTCGTCATGGCCGTAGCGCTGGGCGATATCGGCCAAAACGCGCATCTGTTCGGCTGAGGCATCGCCCGGCGTGCCGCCGACCGGCTTCAGCGAGACCGAAACGATGCCGTAGGCCGGGTTCCTGTGCTCGCTCACATTGGTCTCGACGAAGGAGCGGAACACCGGATCGTCCGCCTGTGCGCGGTCGAAGACGAGCGACTGGGTGTTGTCGAAGTCCGGCGGCGCGAATGCTGCCTCGATGCGGTCGACCAACGCCTGCGGCGGCGCCTGGAACAGCGCCTTTTGCTCGGCGAACGCCGCCTCGATCAGCGCCTTGATCTCCTCGGTTCCGGTTTCGTGGACGAGGATCTTGATGCGCGCCTTGTACTTGTTGTCCCGCCGGCCGGCGAGATTGTAGACCCTGAGGATCGCTTCCAGATAGGGCAGGAGATCGGCCTTCCGCACGAAATCGCGGACGGTCTTGCCGATCATCGGCGTCCGGCCGAGCCCGCCGCCGACGATCACCTCATAGCCGGGCTCGCCCGCGTCGTTGCGCACCATTCTGAGGCCGATGTCGTGCGCCTTCGTCACCGCCCGGTCGTTGGGGCTGCCGGTGATGGCGATCTTGAACTTGCGCGGCAGGAACTGGAATTCGGGATGGTCGGTCGACCATTGCCGCAGCAGTTCCGCCGTCGGGCGCGGGTCTTCGATCTCGTCCGCCGCGGCGCCGGCGAAATGGTCGGCGGTGACGTTCCTTATGCAATTGCCCGAGGTCTGGATGGCGTGCATTTCGACATCGGCGAGCGCGTCCAGAATATCGGGTACATCTTTCAGCTTGGGCCAGTTGAACTGGATGTTCTGGCGCGTGGTGAAGTGACCATAGCCCTTGTCCCAGCGCTCGGCGATCATCGCGAGCTGACGCATCTGCCGGGAATTGAGCGTGCCGTAGGGGATTGCGACGCGCAGCATGTAGGCGTGCAGTTGCAGATACAGACCGTTCATCAGCCGCAGCGGCTTGAACTCGTCCTCGGTGAGCGAACCGTCGATGCGGCGCTCGACCTGTTCGCGGAAATCAGCCACGCGTGCCCGCACGAACTCGGCGTCGAAATCGTCATACCGGTACATGTCAGACCTCCGCCTGTTTGCCGTGGAAATAGTTTGAGGGGCCGCGCGTGCGGAATGCCTCGCGGAAATGGACGGGCTGCGGCCGTCCGTCTGCATCGATTGCTGCATCGGCGAGGTAAGCGCCGACGATCTTGTCCGGCTGCGCCTGGGCGACGGCGAGCAGCCGTTGCGCTTCGTCCGAGTCGTGCGCCACGGCGGCGTCGCCATGCAGACGCGTCCAGCCGCCTTCGCCGGTCAGATAGATCACGTCGCCCTCGAACAAATCGTTCGCGGTGACGATTTGCGGATGTTTCTGGCGCCCCATCAGACGGCCTCCGCTTCATGGTGCATGTCGGCAAGGTCAGCGACTGCGGCGGCCGCGCCGCGTGGCGCGATGCCGTAGAGCAGAATGGCCGGGCCGGTGATACCGGCCTGCCTGAGACGCTCGGGCAGCGTGCCAAGGGTTGCGGCGACGACGCGCTGGTCGGTGCGTGACGCATTCTCGACCACTGTCACCGGCGTTTCCGCATCCGCGCCGTGCATCAGCAGGCGTCCGCGCAAGAAGGATGCCGCCCTGATCCCCATATAAATCGCCGCCGCCTCGCCGGGCCGGGCCAGCGCGCGCCAGTCGTGATCGGCAAAGCCTTCCGCGTCATGGCCGGTGATGATGCGCAGCGACGCGTTGCGACCGCGCCGCGTCAGTGACCGGCCGATCGATGCCGCCGCCGCCGATGCGGAAGTAATGCCCGGCACGATCTGGAAGCCGACGCCCGCTCGATCGAGCGCGTCCAGTTCCTCCTCGAGGCGGCCGAACACGGCCGGATCGCCGGACTTGAGCCGCACGACATGGGAGCCCTTGTTTGCATGGTCGATCATCAGCGCGTTGATGTCGTCCTGCTTCCAGGCGTCTCCGAAGCCCTTCTTGCCGGTCTCGACGACGACCGCCTCACGCCGCGCCAGTTCGATGACCGGCTGCGGCACAAGCTTGTCATGCAGGACGACATCGGCCTCGTGCAGCGCGTTGCGGGCCTTCAGCGTCAAGAGCTCGGGATCGCCGGGACCGGCGCCGACGAAAGTGACAAAGCCCGGCCCGTGCCGCGTTTCGATCCCGTCGGTCAGAAGCGTTTCCAGCGTCTTGCGCACGGCGTATTCGCCGCCCGCCTTGAGGGCGCGGTCGCCGGCGCCGAAATAGAATTTCGTCCAGAAGGCGCGGCGCTTCTTGGCGTCTCCCAGCATGTCGGCGCGCACTCGAAAGGCCTGGCCGATCCGGGCCAGGACGCCGAGCGAAGCGGGCAGGCGTTCTTCGAGATCGGCCTTGATCTTGCGCGCCAGCACCGGCGCCGCGCCCTCGGTGCCGATTGCCACGGTTACCGGATCGCGATCGACGATGGCCGGGGTGATGAACTGCGAATCGTCGAGATTGTCGACGATGTTGACCAGCGCTCCGGCGGCGTGGCCGATGGCTGCCGCGCGCGCGTCCTCGGTGGCATCGTCGTTGGCCGCATAGAAGAGGCGCGCGCAGAGCGCGTCGCCGGTCTCGACGGGGCGCTCTGTCAGCGTGATGCGGCCTTCTTCGGCCCATTGCCGGACGAGCGGTTCGGGATCGGCACCGAAAACCGAAATTCGTGCCCGGGTCTTCAACAGAAGACGCAGCTTGGCAATGGCGGTTTCACCCGCGCCGGACACGACCACGCGGCGGCCGTCGACATTCACAAAAACCGGAAAATGGCGCATGTACCCACCTCTTAGAACGAGATGCCATTTTAGGTGCGATTGAATCCCGTCAGAAGAACGCCATTCCCAACTCCAACCCTTACGGAGAAAAATTTGTTCTGGCCGGTGGGCCGCGTCCCGGGTCCGGCGGGATTGATCCGTGTCAAGGACCGGCGCGGTTCCGGTTGCGACAATCACACCACTTTGGAAGCGTTCCAATCAGTGGCGCGCTGGTTTATATGGGCAGGAAACACGGGCACGAACGCGAATGCGAAGGTGCCATGCGAGGACGAAGATGACCATCACGCCGATCACCGCGCCAAGCCAGGAACCAATTCAGGGCCAGCTGGATTTTGACCGGTTTTTTGCCGACAAGCTCTCCGGTTTGCACGATGGAGGCAACTACCGTGTTTTTGCGGAGCTTGAGCGCCAGCGCGGGTGTTTTCCGCGTGCGACGCGGCACCGCGGGGACGGCTCGACCCACGATGTGACGGTATGGTGCTCGAACGACTATCTGGGCATGGGCCAGCATCCGGACGTGGTTTCGGCAATGCACGAGGCGATCGACAAATGCGGCACGGGCGCCGGCGGCACGCGCAACATTTCGGGCACCAATCATGGCCATGTGAAGCTCGAAGAGGAACTGGCGGACCTGCACGGCAAACAGGCCGCGCTGATCTTCACCTCGGGCTATGTCTCCAACTGGGCCGCGCTCGGCACGCTTCTGGCGAAGATCCCCGGCATCATCTGCTACACCGACGCGCTCAACCATGCCTCGATGATCGAGGGGATACGGCACTCGCGCTGCGAGAAGCGCATCTTCAGGCACAATGACTGGAAGGATCTTGATCGTCTGATGTCCCAGGACGATCCGGCCGCGCCCAAGCTGGTCGCCTTCGAGAGCGTCTATTCGATGGATGGCGACATCGCGCCGATCGAGAAGATCTGCGATGTGGCCGACAGGCATGGCGCGCTGAAATATATCGACGAAGTGCATGCGGTGGGCATGTACGGCCCGCGCGGCGGCGGCGTTGCCGAACGCGAAGGGCTGATGGACCGGATCGATGTCATCGAGGGGACGCTGGGCAAGGCGTTCGGCGTGATGGGCGGCTACATCACCGGCTCGAAGAACCTTGTCGATTTCGTGCGCAGTTTTGCCTCGGGCTTCATCTTCACGACGGCCTTGCCGCCGGCACTGGCGGCGGGCGCGGTCGCCTCGATCCGGCATCTGAAGGCCCATGACGACAAGCGCCTTGCCCATCAGGAGGCTGTGAGGAAGGTGCGCGCCGCGCTCGACCGTCAGGGCATTCCGCACATGGCCAATCCGAGCCACATCGTGCCGGTGATGGTGGGCGATGCGGCCAAGTGCAAATGGATCTCGGACATCCTTCTGGACGATTACGGCATCTATGTGCAGCCGATCAACTATCCGACGGTGCCGGTGGGCACCGAGCGGCTGCGCATCACGCCGACGCCGTTCCACACCGACGCCGACATCGCACACCTGTCCAGCGCCCTGTGCGACCTGTGGAGCCAGTGCGCGCTGGCACGCGCGGTGGCGTAGGGGCGCAAGGCGTCAGCCGGCCTCCAACTCCGCCAGAACCTCCTCGGTATGCTCGCCCAGCCCCGGCGATGGGCGGTCGGCGCAGGCCGCGATACCATCAAGCATCACAGGCATGCGCACCGACGGGATCGCATTGCCTGACGCATCGGGCAGATCGACTCGCATCGCGCGGGCGACGATCTGCGGGTCGGCGAATGCGTCGGCAATCGAATTGATCGGTCCGGTCGGCACGTTGGCGGTTTCGCAGGCGGCAACCAGATCGTCACGCTGCCATCGGCGGGTCTTCTCCGAAAGCAGCCCTGTCAGCGCCGCGCGGTTCTCCACCCGGGCCGCATTGGTCGCAAAGCGCGGATCGGCCGGCAACGCCTCAAGCTCCAGCAGAGCGCAGATGCGGGCGAACTGGCCGTCATTGCCCACCGCGATGATGATGTGCCCGTCGGCGGTTTCGATCACCTGGTAGGGAGCGATGTTGGGATGCGCATTGCCGAGCCGGCGCGGCGCTTTTCCGGTGGCCAGGAAGTTCATGTTCTGGTTGGCCATGGCGGCCAGCATCACATCCATCAGCGCCATGTCGATATGGCAGCCCCTGCCGGTCTTCAGCGCCCGGATCAGCGCCGCCTCGATCGCCGCAACCGCATAGATGCCGGTGAACACGTCGGCGATGGCAACGCCCGCCTTCATCGGCTGGCCGGCCGGCTCTCCGGTGATCGACATGAAGCCGGCCATTCCCTGGATGATGAAATCGTAGCCGGGCCGGTCCTTGTAGGGGCCGGTCTGTCCGAAACCGGTGATCGAGCAGGTCACAAGTTTTGGGTTGATCGCCGCAAGGCTGGCATGATCGAGCCCATACTTGGCCAGACCGCCAACCTTGAAATTCTCGATCACGACATCGGCCGTCGCCGCAAGGCGGCGAATGACGGCTTGCCCGTCATCGGTCTTGAAGTCGACGGCGACCGAGCGCTTGCCGCGGTTGGTGGCATGAAAATAGGCGGCCGACAGAGGCTTGCCGTCCGCGCCGGTGATGAAGGGCGGTCCCCATCCGCGCGTCTCGTCGCCGCCGTCCGGGTGTTCGATCTTGATGACATCGGCACCCAGATCGGACAGCATCTGGCCTGCCCACGGGCCGGCCAGCACGCGGGCCAGTTCGATCACGCGGATGCCCGCGAGCGGCCGTTCGGCGGCTGTGATTTGTGTCATGTCCTGCCGTCTGTCTCAAAGCCTCTGGCGGAGTTTGCGCGACTGAAGGCGCTTTTCCGCCAACAGCTTGCGCTGGTAGCGGCCCTGCACGATCTCGACAAGCACCATGGTGACGAGAACGAAGTAGAAGGTCGTCTTGCTCATCGCCTCGACGGTGAAGCCGAAGAAGGACAGATGCGCCAGATGGCCGCCCTCTGTCGTCAACAGGATGCCGACGAGCAGCAGAACGAAAAGGCCGACCACTTCGTACATCCGGTTGCGGTTGAGGAAGTCGGCGACGGTTTCGGCCATCAGCACCATCAGCGCGCCTGACACGATGATGGCAGTTGTCATGACGACGAAATTGTCGGTCAGCGCGACGGCGGACAGAACCGTGTCGAAGGAGAAGACGACATTCATCGCGGTGATCCAGAACAGCGCGCGCATCGGCGAGGCGTTTGCCGCCCGTTCGGCCGCGTGCCCGATATCGTCGATCGCCAGAAGGTGGAAGATCTCGCGCATCGCCGTGTAGATGAGGAACACGCCACCGGCCAGGACGATCAGCGCATGGCCGGAAATCTCGCCCTCGATGAAGGGCGGGATGGAGATGGTCGCGAACGGTTCCTGGAACGCCTGGATCAGTTGCAGGACCACGAACAAAAGGACGATGCGCAGCACGATGGCAAGGATGATGCCCAGCCTGCGAATGCGCTCCTCATGCTCCTCTCCCGCCTTTTTCGCCTCCAGCGAGATGTAGAGAAGATTGTCGAAACCCAGAACTGTCTCCAGCGCCGTCAGCACAAGGAGGGTCGTCAGGTTCTCGATCGTGAAAAGCCCTTGCAGCAGTTCCATGGCGCACCCCTTTCCGATGGAAGTGGGTCTGCCCTACCAGAGCTTTCGGGGTGCGTCACCCTGCCCGCAGTCGCCGGTCCACGATGATGTAGAACAGCGCGGTCAGCAGCGCGATGAAGGCCGCGCTCATATAGACGCCGCCAATGCCGCCCAGCGGATCGATCAGCAGCACGAACGGCGCGGCCAGAAACTGCGCCATGAATACCGACATCGTCATCAGGCCTGCTGCCTGACCGCGCATGGCCGGCGGCACGCGTGAATAAAGCCAAGTGGTCGCGTTCGGCAGCACGATGCCCGACGCGCAGCCGACCAGCACCATCAGCCCGAACACCACCGGCAAGGGCGGCTGCAGCGACAGCGTGGCGAAACCTGCCGACGCCAACAGAAATGCAAGCGAGGCCAGAAGCGGTGGCGGTGCCATCGCCCGGATACGTCCGAAGACAAGCGCTACGATGCCGCTTGAAAAGGTCAGGAGCGCGATCGCGCTGCCGGCGAGTGCGGCGCTGTCGAGGCCCATGTCGCGCAGCATGAATGGCAGTTTCAGCGGTATGGTGAAATATGTGAAGAAATTGGCGAAGGCGGCAACGCAGATCATCGCCGTGAACGCCCAGGGGAAACGCCCTTTTGGCGCCCGCGTCTCGGGCATCTTGTCCGCTGGCGGCCCACAAGGCACCCATGCGAGGATGAACGGAATCAGGAGCAGCGGCGCAAGATAGACGGCGAACGGCCCACGCCAGTGCAGATCGGCCAGAAATCCGCCGGCCATGATGAAGCTCATGCCGCCAAAGCTCATCGCCGCGGCCTGATAGCCCAGAATGCGCCCGCGTTCGGCATCGTCGAACAGGTCGGCAATCAAGGCCATCGCCGAGGTCATGATCGCGCCGACGGCGACGCCCAGGAACAGGCGGCCGAATGTGATCAGGCCGATCGTGTCGAGATAGAGACCGGACGAACCGGCGACCACGTAGACAACGATGCCGGTCAGCAACACCCGGCGCTTGTGTGTCCGGTCGGCGAGAAGGCCGGCGAGCGGCGCGGCGATGGCGATCGCCAGCCCCGGTACGGTCAGGATCAGACGCACCAGCGCCGCTCCGCCCGGTTGCGTTTCGAAATGGGCGGCGATGCCCGGCAGGGAGGGCGCGATCGTCGCGCCGGCCATGACGGTGAGCGTCGCGCACAGCAAGAGGATGACGAGTGCGGGAATCCGCGCCGCCATCCCCCCGGTCGTGTCCGGATCAGGCGATGCGCTCATCGAGCCACATCACGAGCTGGGAAATCGCTTCATCCGCGATGCTGCTGTTCAGTGTCTCGTGGGGCGTGTCGGGATGGACCGTCGTGGTGACATCGGCGAAGCCGGCCTTGCGCAGGCGTTCGGCCTGCGCGGTCACGGCCTTGCCGCGATCGGTTGCGGGATCCCTGTCGCCGCCGACGAGATGAAACGGAAGCGCGCGCGCCGACGGCGATGCATCGCCAACCTCGCCACCGGCAAAGATCATCGAGAACACGTCCTGCCACATGCCGACCGATGCGTTCCAGCCGCACAAGGGATCGGCGATATATGCGTCCACTTCGGCATCGATGTCGCTCAGCCAGTCGAAATCGGTTCGCCGGTTCGGCACCGCCCTGGCCCATTGCGCGAAGGTGAGCTTCGGCAGCAATCGCGAGGGCACATCGTTGCCCAGCCGCAGACGCTCCCATTTGAGGATCAGTTGCGCTGCACGGCCGGCGAGACCGCCCGAAAAATTGGCGTTCCAGACGGCTGCGCCGGAAAGCCCCTCCGGATGGCGCAACGCGTAGTTCATCGTGATCAGTCCGCCCATCGAATGGCCGAAGATGAAGATCGGGATCGATCCATGACGATCGCGAATGCGCGCGTGCACGGCGCCCACATCGCCGAGCACCTTGGCGACTCCGTCGCCTTGAGTGGAAAAACTGCCGGGCGGCGCGTTTGGCGCCGTCGTCGCGCCATGGCCGCGATGGTCGTGGGCGTAGACAGCGATGCCTTTCGCTGACAGCGCGTGTGCGAAACGCGCGTAGCGCGCGGCATGTTCGGCAAGGCCGTGGTTGATCTGCACGACCGCGCGGACATCGTCCGTCGCCGGCTGATGGTAGACGTGCAGACTGGACCCTGTTGGCGAAGCCAGCTCGAACTGATCGGCGAAGTCGGTTGTCATGGCGCGCACATGGACGGGCGCGGCCGGCTGCGTCAAGTGAAAGGAACCATGCGCCTCAGTAGCGCCAGGCCCGGTCTTCGGTCGCCGCCACGATCGCCTCGGCCAGTTCGGCGTAGCCGCGGCAGTCGCGCCCGCAGCGCGTCTCGATGGCATCGAGTTGGGCGATGGCGCCGGCGCGGTCGCCATCAAGCAGCAGCGCCTGACCCATATAGGAGCGGGCCAGCGTGTAGTTCGGGTCGAGCGCGATGGCGCGGCGATAGTGAGCTATGCCGGCCTGTAGGTCGCCGGCATTGCGTGTCGCATAGCCCAGATAGTTGAGCACGTCAGGCCGGTTCTGATCCTTGATCATGCCCAGAACCGTGACCGCTTCCTCGAACCGGCCCAGATAGGCCAGCACACGGCCGTTTTCGAAGAGCGCGTCATCGTCGAGGCTTTGCTGGTCCGCGGGCACGCACTCGTTCTTGCCGCGATCCCAGATTTCGCCGTTGTTGCATTGGCGCACCGCGTCGTTCGAAGCATCGTCGTCGCCGCCACCGACGGCAAGGGCCGGCGCCGTCAGCACGAACGCGGACAGGAAGATGGCGGCAAAGAGCTGGCGGTGCATGACGGACTCCCTTCGGTTGCCGACAATGTCGGACTTCGGGTCGGAACGTCGAGCCCTTCGCGCAATGAACACGCGAATGTGATGCCGCACCGCAGCCGGGCTGGCGCCGGCAAGACGGTTGCAAGCTCCCGGCCGTTCGGCCAATTTGCGCCGGCGGGAAGGGGGAGAAGCGGTGACCGAGCCGGACATCAGCG